CATAGTGATGTTTAGGGTCCTACATCAATTATTTCTCATACTCGTCATAAGTAGTTTGTGAAATTTTTTGAAGATTACAATCGGTTTACTTGGGTTTATTTTCTTCATTCCAAATCTAAGGTTTTTTCTATTTTCAAGTTATTTTTTCCTATATTGCGACTAAATTTTCTACTAGTATTAAGATATTAAGATCTTATTCGGGTGGGAAATATATGTTACATGAATTTTATGACTTTTTATAGTAGAAAGGTATTATCTCACATCGTTCATGTCCATATAGACCATAATAAAATGGGGTTGCTGAACGTAAGAACCATCATCTTTTGAATATCACTAGAACCTTATTGTTTGAGTCTTTTATACCATCAAAATTCTGGATTGAAGCCTTGTTTACTATAGTTTATTTAATTAATTGATTGTCATCACAAGTGTTAAATTTTGATTCTCCATACTATCGTCTACATCATAAGTCTCCTAACTATCATAACTTGCATACTTTTGGTTGTGTTTGCTTTATTCATTTACCTTTTCATAAACGAAACAAAATTTATGCTCAGTATACTAAATGTATCTTTTGAGGTTATAGTATTTCTCAAAAATATTTTATTTGTTATGATCTAAACTGTAGCAAATTTTGTATTTCTAGAAATGTTGTCTTCTTAAAAATCAATATTTCTTCCCTACTCATGTTGCATCTTCCTCTGTTGCTCCTATTCTTCCTCATTTTAAGGATATGTCATCTTTTGAGTGGTTCAAGCCTAGAATTATATATGAAAGATGTCAACCAACTTTGCCACTTCTTGAGACTGATCCACTACCTGATACTGCTCTTGAGATTGCTTCTAAGCCTTCTACTCATCAGCCTACTATTCATCTCTCTATGAGAGTATCTCATCCTCCTGATCAATATGGTTTTTCAGCTACTCTATCCACTATTGTTATTCCATCATGTTACTCACAAGCTTCCATCATGTTACTTACAAGCTTAATTAATGACTCCCATTTATACCCTTTGAGGAGCTTCAAGCTCTTTAGGATAATCATACATAGGATCTTATTTCTTATCCTTCAGCTGTTAAACTCATTAGGTGTAAATAGGTGTACTTGATTAAGCTTCACTCTGATGGAACTCTAGATTGATATAAAGCATGATTGGTTGCTCTTGAAAATAGACAAGAGTATGGTGTGGACTACGAGGATACTTTTGCTCCTGTAGCCAAAATGACTACAGTGAGCATTATTATTGTCATTCCTACTTCCTAGGGTTAGCCACTTCATCAAATGGACGTCAAAAATGCTTTTCTCCATGGTGATCTTAAAGAAGATATTTATATGGCATCTTTACCGGGTTTGTTCTCATCATCTACATCAGTTGTGTGTAAGTTGAAGCGATCCTTGTATGGTTTGAAACAAGCTCCTTGAGCATGGTTTGACAAGTTTTGCATTGCATGGCTTCGCTTCTTTTTTTTTTTTGCAAAGCAAATATGATTCCTCATTATTTCCTTGTACAACATCTACTAGTTTTGTTCTCCTTCTTGTTTATGTCGATGATATTATCATTATAGGCACTGATTCTTTATTAATTAGCAACCTTCAGCACCATATTCAGGATTGCTTTCACATGAAGTACCTTAGTTCTCTTACTTACTTCTTGGGATTGGAAGTTCATTCTTCTTCTTCTGGTGCATTTGTGCATCAACATAAATATGTTAAGGACTTGATTACTTTGGTTGGTCTTCGAGATTCTTCTCTGATGGATACTCCTTTCAAGGTGAATGTTAAGTTTCGACGTGATGACAGGGATCTTCTATCTAATTCAACTCTATATCGGCAATTAGTTGGCAGCTTGAATTATCTTACTATTACTTGATCTGATATCTCTTTTGTAGTTCAGCAAGTCAATCAATTTATGCAATCTCCCTATCATTTACATTTGGTAGTTGTTCATCGCATCATTCGATATCTATTTGGCTCTTCTAGTCATGGCCTATTCTATGTTGCTAGTTCTTCTATCCGCTTTGTTGCTTTTAGAGATGTCGATTCGGCAGATTATCTTGATACACGTCGCTCTATCATAGGTTGGTGTATATTTCTTGGTGATTCCTTAATATCTTGGAAGAGTAAGAAACAAGATCGTGTTTCTAAATTTTTGACTGAGTCTAAATATAAAGCCATTTCAGCTGCTTGCTCTGAGGTTGTTTGGCTTCGTGGACTGCTTGCAGAAATTGGACTTCTCTAGACTACTCCTACTCTTCTTTATATTGACAACACGAGTGTTATTTAAATTGCTATAAATCCTGTTTTTCATGAGCGTACCAAGCATATCGAAATGGATTGTCATTCTATTTGAGAATTCATGGATACTCATGTTATTTCTTTTCCACATATCTCCACCAACCTTCAAATAACTGATATGTTTTCCAAATCAATGACTCGTCAACACCATTAATTTCTAGTTGGCAAATTGATGCTTCTTGATCACCCAACATCAATTTGAGAGGGGATGTTAGCATAGTTCTTTTCAGTAAAATCATTAGATTTCATATACATATTTGTTATTTATGTCGAGAAAACAGTTGTAAATATTTGTGTAATCATAGGGTAATTAGCTTTCTATAATTAGGCCAAGATTATAGTTAATAGTAGTAGATTTTATTGAATATAAATCAAAATTCTTCCTATTTAATGAAAAAAACTCTCATGAAGGGAGGTCATTCAGCCAAATTGATAGTTATGAAAGGGGGTTCTCATTAAAAGTTCTCCTATATAAGCCAACTATAGGTATAAAATTGATTAAACACTATTAGATTCATAGAAATAGGTTATTGTTCATGCTTAAACCTACCACAATGCTTCTATTCACCTTGATAGAGTATGTTCACTCCTAACTTGGCATTTCTTTAATGCCATGTTTACATGGCTTAGAACGAAAGGTATTGAAGTTATAATTCTACTCCTAGCCAAGGTTCTGTTATTTTCGAATAGGCATTAATTATTTTTTTTAAACCTAGAAACATACACACCTAGTAGAAGAAAGAAGGATACATGTTCTCTTTCAATGGGAAAATTGGTTTATTTTTTTTACATCTTTATTAGAGTGTTATACTTTAAAGTCCCCATTAACAAGTCTTTAAATTCATTTGTAAGAATTTGTGTGAAGGTACAAAGCTCCTTACCTCCTAAATATAAACCTCTTATTAAAATCAAATCGTATAGATTAATGGTGTGCATTCCTTATCTAAATATGAAGATGTTATTTAACTTGGTTTAAAAGATAAACAAGGCTTCTAACACTTCATTATTTGGCTTAGTGGATATCCTAAACAATTAAATTACTTTAAAGATCCTCAAGAATTTTCATTCCTCGTAAAGTGTTATTGCATTATATTTTGTTAACTAATGTAAACATCGGCAACACTAAGCTATGTTGGGATAGACTTTTTTCATATATTAACATTGGCATACTTATCTTATAGATGAAGTCTCTCCCTCCCTCTTTTTATCTCTCTCAACATATAAAGCAAATGTATTATCTCCTTATTATAAAAACATATTTTTGATATAGAACAAGACATTCTTCTATCATATCTTCTAAAACATTGCTAATTATTAAATAATATACATTGTGATGTAATTTATATAATTTTAGAAAGGAGTGATAAAGGAAAATTTTGATTATGTAGAACTTAAAGATGTCAATTTTGTGTTTGAAGGAAGAAGTAAACTTAGGGTTTCTCTTTTTCTAAAAATATTTAATTTTTTGTAGAGAATAATTAGGGATTTATTTATGATGATTAAGGGTTAAGTATTAATTGAAGAACTTATAAATTAATTATAACTTAACATTGCAATTCTTAAATTCTAAGTATCGTGTCTAAAGTTAAAAAAGTTTCATTTTAAAATTATTTAGTTAGCTGACATATTAGATAATGAAACATGATTGATATTTTGGAGGAATAGTGCTTGATTTGCTATGTCATTCATGGTTGAGTTTTAGATCAATTTAAACACAAAAGATTAGTTGATATTTATTCATGAATCTTAAATAAAAGAATAGGAAGAGCATTTTTTTTATATCCAAAAATACATTCATTTGTTCGTGTGGTCAAGAAAAACATTTTTTCGTTATTGGTAGTTTTCAAGTAAACTAGTAAAGAAAACTAAAAGTAATCATCAATTAACTAACAAATAATGAAATTAACCATCAACCAGAAGATTAGGATTCATAGTAAAGATTAACAATCAAGTCCTATGCAAGAAAAGGAAAAAAGAAAATGTTCAATAGGTTAATTAGTGTATATTATTGATTGACACAAACACATACATCTGCCAAAAGAATATATGTGAATAAAAAAGAAGAAAATGTATTAGGATTGAGATTATATAGTTTTTATATACCATAATAGCTTGTATAGGAATAAACTTTTATATTTATGTGAAATTTTATTTTTATAATATTATATATAGACAACTCAATAGTTAAAGATAATGACTAATCTGATATATATAATTTATTCATAGCTTTTTACTATTTATTTCTTTTCTTTTCTTTTCTTTTCTTTTTTTCTTACCACAGTCCTTATAGTTTTTGTTTACAACTTTATTTTTCTGCTATATTTTTTTTTCTAATTTTTTTTTTTGGTATTAATCTTCATTTATTCTTAACATGTTTAAGTTAAATTTAGAACTCCACACTCCATTTTAATTTGTGAAATTGTTGCATATATTCACTGAAAATTATGTTACTAGTTATAATTTCTTAACCTGTAGCATATTGAATGAATGATCGGATTGAAGATGATCAATTAACAAATTATCTTATCAACACCAGCTTACCGTTAATTATTGGCAACATGCTATAAAAAGAGAGCATTCATCCAGGAGATGTGAGGTCACGTACTAACACTACTTTGGATGGATACTGGATGGAGAGATCGCATTTTTCTTGGATAGATATCAAGCGTAGACAGGTCATATTAATAAAATATGAAAATTCGATCCAACAAGTCTATCCATGAATTATTATTTTCTATTATAAAATAGATTATTCCCGATAGCTCTTCATATCCCCGTCACTTTGTGTGTTACGTCCTGTCCGAGTCAAAGTGATTCAGTCAATCAAGCATCCTCTCTGTTTTGGTTACAGAACCAGAAGATCATAAGATTGATAGAAAAGTATTTTGTTTGATTACATTAGATTAATGGGAAAGAAGATTACGTGTTACTTTGTGTTGTTTCTATTAGGTTCAAGTTTATCATGGGTACTTAAGGTGGCATTTGCAGGGAGCATAGCGCCTCTTTTGCAGGGATACGAGGAAGGGAGTTATGGGTATAGCAGATCATTCAATAACGTTTTTTCTACTTCAAATTATGGGATTTTCCAGCTCAATAATGGATTGGCTAGAACTCCTCAGATGGGGTCTCTCTCTAACGCCTTTTTCCTTCACTTTTTAATTAATTTATTTTTTAGTGTTTTGGGAGTTGGATTTTATTGGATATCTAGTTTTCTGGGGATGTACAGGTCTTGGGTTTTGCTTATAATCAGGAGGGACTTTTTCTCTGTAATCTACTTTCACTGATGCGAGCGGGAAAACTGTCATTTTGTGAAATTTTATTTTGTGTTTGATTTTGCATGGTTGTGTGATGTGGGTGTTTTTGCAGATGGAATAGCTGGAATTTCTTTGCCTGCAATATCAATGAAACCGTCATCAAGGAAACAGGTGCTTTTGTTTTCCCGTTCTCATCCTGTTGTTTTCCATTTTGTCGATACTGATGCTTGCTCGTATAAATTACTTGCATTTATGGTTCTTGCTTTGTTAAGATTATTAATGAGAATTGACTTGAATCAGAAGTTGGGACTAAAATTGCAGTTGAGTGCTGATAATTGCTAGCAAATTCCAAGGAACATAGTATTTCTGTGTGCTGCATAATTGATGAAAAATAGAAAACTGTTCCTCTGGCTGGGTTGGTGTGTTAAAAATTAGAAATCTGTTTTAATACTGCTACCCTGCATTTTATAAAATAGATTAGACCAGTCATGCATTAAAACTCCTTTTGGTTTCTTGAATTAGTGAAAGTTTGCTTGTGTAAACTGATGCCTGCATGTACAAAAGATATTTGAACATGTTATCCATTATAGCTCCATGGGGTTTCAAAATCAGATTTTAAAGGATCCCAAAGATTGTGCACATCTCTTTCTTCTTTGGTCGAAAACTACACTAAAAATACTGACGTTCACTTCCATGCTTAACAGCTGATGCACTTATTTCAACCGGCTTGGCTGAGTTGGGTTATGTGTATGTCAACATAGGTATTCATCCAGCATTTTCACTTATTTTCCTGAACTTCTTATTTTATTCTATTATATACTTATCTCAATTCATTCAATGCAGATGATTGCTGGTCTTCCACAAAACGAGATTCAAAGGTCTGTTGTTTTTTTTGTTTCTTTCTGTTTCCGATCTTGATTGGTCTAATTTGTCTATGAGCTATCTTATGGTTCACGGGAACAAATCTCTATCTTCTTAGAAGATAAAACACGTGCTGTGCAGAATAGACCCACACAAAAGGAAAGCTATAGTTCTATCTGTGTAGCTTAATAAAGCCTTCTTCTGCACTTCCAAAATCTATTAAATAAAAAAGTAGATATAAAGAAATATCTCTGCGGTGATTTATGTGAAATTTTATGCAACTGCTATAAGATCAACAATTCCATGAGATCCCTATGAGCTATCTTATGTTTCATGGAAAGAAATGTATATTTTCTTAGAAGATACACTCACTACTGTTTGCTGGTTTTATTGATCTTTTTTCTTTTACCTTCATTTTTCTGTGAGATTTTGAATTTCTGCTTTCAATGGTACCAGAAATTATTAATTAAAAGAAGACCCTGGTCCCAGTCTAATATCAGTACTTTCTTCTTTCTAGGAATGTTTTTACTGTCAATATGATCCTACTTTGTGCACAAGAAAGGAATGAACTGATGAAGTTTTGATGTTGCTAATAATGCCAAGTTTCTTATTATGACTTCTTTTCTTTCGTAGGGTCAACTGATCCCTGATCCAAAAATCTTTCCATCTGGAATTAAAGCTCTTGCTGATTATGTTCATGAGAAGGGCCTTAAGCTTGGCATTTATTCTGATGCTGGGTAGGATGAACTCTCTTCAGCACTTGCTTGGAGGCCGTGAAATTAGATCATAATAAATGGGCACTTATTCTAAAACCAAAAGTGTGTTACTGCTATTTCAGTCTCCATTCACTCCTAGACTCACCAAGCTCATTTTTATAGGGCTTTTACATGTCAAGTTCGACCAGGATCGCTTTTCCATGAAAAAGATGATGCAGAACTTTTTGCTTCTTGGGTGAGTTTCTGTGTCCCTTGTGATCAAATGCTTCTTAATTTTCTTGGGGGTGTTTGTTTGTGCATTGGATTTGAACTGCATTTTGCTATTGTATGTAAATGAGGAGTCAAACCATCATTAAAAATAATTAATTCAAGAACAATAAATGGTGGAATCGGCTAACATCTTGACTCATGAGTCATTGTTTAAAATGTTTAATTGATCTTCTACTTGCTATAAAATTCATCAAGAATCATAGGAACAAATGGGCTTTAAAACTAGCTGGACATTCACTTCATTGCCCCTTTCCTGCTGAAGTATACATATTCTGTGTCTGGTCACTTATGACGTGAGGTCTCATTAGTTATCACATGGTTTTTCTTTTCTTTATTTTTGACAGGGAATGTTATTTTAAGTTAATGATTTATTTTATGTCCTCAGGGTGTAGATTATTTGAAGTATGACAACTGTTTCAATTTGGGCATCAATCCAAAAGAAAGGTTTTATCTCCTTCACGGGGTCATCTAACTGCTAAATAATCATCATCAATTACCTCTAGGTTGATCTTATGTGATCTGATCTTTTCCAGATATCCACCAATGCGTGATGCTCTAAACTCAACTGGACACACAATTTTTTATTCACTTTGTGAATGGTAAACCTTGTACTTTCTTTGCTTGTGTGATTGTCCTAGTTCGCTGTCACATTGAGTAATTTTAGCCCTCTTGTTTTGGTTTTGACAGGGGAGTAGATGACCCTGCATTATGGGCTGGTAAAGTTGGAAATAGTTGGCGTACAACAGATGACATCAATGATTCATGGGCAAGGTTAAACTTCTGACTCCAATGCTTGGTATATTATTCGTACAGCACATATCATAATAAGTGTACTTCATATATATGTAACTAAAGTTTTTGGTTATTTAAGCTTTCTTAGCACGAGTCCCTTCATCATTCCTGACTGAAAAAAGGAATGGTCCTTATTGAAATCTTAGAATTACTCTGGAAAAATGCTTGATTTCCACTAAATGAAGGAAAAACAAATAAACCTAACTTTACAGTCACACGCTCATCTACCAGAAGCCCTGTAATTACAATGTGGAATAAAACAAAATCATATTGCTAAAGGATGAATTGTAAAGGTTTACCAGGATCATCAGTTCTTTGGCACTAAATCATGTCAAATATACCCTTTTAAAAGAGTGAGCCCTGGTTTAGAAACTTGGTTGAGAATTCTTCAACGGTAAACCATTTTAGATCAGAAGATCTTTTGGGTGAAATATGACATTTAGTTATATTATTCACTCCCATAGTTATAATATAAACCATTTAAGACCAGAAGATTTTTGGAGCAGGGTCTGCTACAGATGTTCAATGCTGAAATAAATACTTGAGGTTCCTGTAGCATCTACTATTGCAAATTAAAAAAAGTTAAAAAACATGGTTAGACATTGATATCAAGCCTCATTGCACGTTTTTCAATTTTGTATTGCCTTCAGTTACATGAATTCACAAAATGCATGCCTTTAAAGGTTTCTTTTTTTCTGTGGACTAATGCAGAGTTTAAATGCCTGCGCACATCATATCCTGCTGTTACTAAATTCCCATCTCATCCTAAGATCTTGAACATATTTTGTTAATGACTGTCTAAGACTGTTTTAGAATAGAAGTGTTGGAAATATATGAATTTCTTATCTATATATTGTTTGTCAGACTGATTGAGTTTTGTTCCTTGTTGTTAAGCATGACTACCATAGCCGATCTGAATGATAAATGGGCATCCTATGCTGGACCTGGTGGATGGAATGGTAAAAATGAGATCTTTGTGAATATGATTACAATGCTTCAATAGATTTGACATATTTGCCATCTTATTTTTTTCTGGTCAGATCCTGATATGTTGGAAGTTGGCAATGGCGGTATGACTTACCATGAGTATCGTGCTCATTTTAGTATCTGGGCCTTAATGAAGGTCTCTCCTCCAAATTCTTTTTCTTTATCCTAATCTGGCTTCAAATACATGTTCCCTTTTGCAAGCCAGAAAGATAATGTCCACAATTATTAAGTTGTTTGATTTTCATCAAGTGTTACATGAATTTTATCAAGATAGCACTTCAGATGGAAAATATCATCAACAGAGCTAACCAACTGGAAAAGTAATCTAATTCATCCCATGTTGTTCATGTTAATGTTTTTTTGAGTCGGATGTGAGTTGTGTGGTTGTTTATAATATGCTTAAATTTCCGTTTGACACTTGTGTCATATTCCTTTTGACCCTTGTTTACATGTTAATGCTTTTGTCATAAATGCATTTATCAGCTGTGCTGCTCTGGGAACTTCCTTCGCATTCCATGTCGAGGAATTTTGCTTCATTTTGAGTTTGCATGAACATAGTGTCATATTTGTATGCTGGGGTCTGACTTTGTGTCCTTTATAAACTTATTGTGAGCTTGGTTGTGCAGGCCCCCCTTTTGATTGGTTGTGATGTAAGAAACATGACTGCAGAAACTATTGAAATTCTAACCAACAAGGAGATCATTGCTGTAAATCAAGGTGAAGTCCATCCTCTCTCTGTTAGTTTGTTGGGGGCTAGGGTGTGTGTTCCATTTTGTTGTTGGTGGTAATGGTATTATTTTCCTATCATTTCTCTTCAAATTATTGTGTCTGGAAAAATAAGCAAGGATATTGATTTCTTTTACAGATCCGCTAGGGATTCAGGGAAGGAAGGTTTATTCTACCGGAACTGATGGCTGCCTACAGGTCCTGCTCTCTCACACCAATTTATAGCCTATTCAACCAATATTTTACATGAATTATGGACAAGTAATTGAACGTTTCTGGATCAAATTTACATTTCATTCTGTATTTTTTTTTTCCAATTGAAGAGGAATTGTATCCACTCTTGCTTGAGGCATCAATGGAAAAGAATCTTCACCCACTCATGCTATATATAAAAGTACTAAAGATTGTTTGCTGCAAAAATAAGCAGAAACAACATCATAGTTTGTAACATTTTTGGTTGACAAAAGTTCATATGGTAAATTTTAATGTCATACTGAGTGAGTTTGTTGACGAAATTTCTACTTAACAAGCCTGTTTTTAACCATAATTGTGATAGCGTTTTACAGGTCTGGGCAGGTCCTTTGTCTGGCCATCGCATAGTTGTTGCTCTCTGGAATCGATGTTCAAAAGCTGCAACTATCACCGCTGGATGGGATGCACTTGGGCTCGAATCCAGCACTAGTGTCAGTGTAAGAGACCTGTGGCAGGTGAGGAAATTGAATCTGGAACAGATTTTCGATATTAGAAGACCTAAACAATAGCTTCACTGATGTTTTAGAAACTAAAAATTTTCAATATTGCCTAATCAGGTAGCAACTGCCACTTTGCTGCATGATCACCCTCAATCATGTTTAGGAATCTGAGTCTATTTGCTTGACTTTAACCCATGCCAAGACTTTTGCAATTCTTCAAGGTTTTTAAGTTTTAACATTTCAGATAGAACATTAATCTTTACTGGGTTTAATAGATACTGTTTATTGAGTATTGACTTTTGGTGGTGTTCTGTCGTATAGTTAAACACGAACTATCACCTGTCACACTGTGTTCTGTCGTATAGTTAAACACGAACTAACACGAACTATCACCTGTCACACCGGCTTGGTGTCCATTTTGTTCATACATTTCCTGTGGTTTAACTTGGTGCACTTTAGGCAATATGCATGTGTGAATGTGAATTCTAACATTTCCATATGAACATGTCCCGCTATAGAATTGCTATAAAATAAATTTAAAAAAAAAAACAGTTTCAGGCATTCAACAGTCCATTTTTCTCGGTTATTTGTGTCTGGGGTCGTAGATTGTTCTTAGGGAGTTCTTAAGACTTGCTGGAGCTAGTATTCCTTCAAACTTCTAATTTATGCTCACTCGGCATCCCTTTTCGCTTGCAGCACAAAGATATCGTGGGAGACGCAGTGGCATCATTTGGTGCTCAAGTCGATGCTCATGATTGCCAGATATTTATTTTTACTCTGCAGTCAGTGTACCGCTCTGAAATTTAGTTTCTATATGGACACCAGTGGTTGAAGATCGTGGGGTGATTTTGCTCTCCCGTGCATGGCAAGGAATGTAATTTGATCACATAGAAGAAAGTCGTTTTATACCCATTTGTAAAGCACTTGTGGATTGTGAGTAATCAATCAATCGTGAGACCCTGTACAATCTCGGGCTGGAACTTTGTAAAGATATTGTGTGGACAAAAAATAACTGCTGTCCTGCCCTAGATTTCTATTGTTTGATAACAATTCTGCTGGGAATATTTTTCATTTCACTGATTCAAACAGGTTCATATTTGATTGAGAGCTCTGAAAGATGAGCTTATTTGACCAATGGTTTGTTGTGCTGTGCTGTGTTGATCTTCTGATCTAAAATGACAATGATTAAGGGAATCAGCAGTTGCAAGGGGTTTTTTTTGTTTAAATAATAATATAGGGATTTATTGTTATTCAATAGAAAAGAAATGGTAAGAATATATAAATCTTTGCAAATTGAAAATCATCATTAATGTTAATTCGAAAGAAAAAAAGAGAGAAATGATCACATTAATATTAGTTGAAAATAAATAAAAATATTACAGAATTTATTAGGATTTTAGTAACTCAAAATCTTTTGCTGAAAAGCAATTCTTGAGATTTTTTTTTTTCATTTGCTATAATCAAAATAAATGTTTTCAAGAATTCTAACTATTAGATAGAAAATAAACTGACACATTTTAGTTGTTGGAAAGTGGTCGCATAAAATCTCTTTTCTTACTTTTTTTTCCTTTGAAAGTTTAGGGACTGAAACATGAAAAAAAAAAAAAAAA